TATACTAGAAAAAATTGGTGAACATAATATTATGGTACAAAAAGTTGGTGAACACAATATTATGGCAAATTCTAAATGAATATAGCCACCAGGCAAATCACTTTGACAAATGAGTGAACTGATTACTTTCTTGCAAATTTTGAAAGGCTATGAAAAAAAAGTTACCACCCTATCAAACCATCATTGTGTTGCTTTCTCAACTAAATTATTGAAAACATATTTCGATTGTATTGGCTCAAACAATTACGTAGTAAGAAAATTTAATCAGGTAAATTGTGAGTTATTAGTTTTTTTCCAAGGATAATTTTTTTTTCAAAAAAAAGTATTTTTCTGACACAATGAAATTTATCATAGTCATACGTCATTTCAAATGCGGCGAGAAATTACGACGTAAAAAAGCAAAAAAAAATCTGACAAGAGCTTAAGCTTTTTACAAAAATACCAAATTTCAAAACATGAAGCAGTTTGAAATGTGTTTGGAATAAATGCAGTTTGAAATGTTTTTGGAAATGATGCAGTTTGAAATGTGTTTAGAATTATTATGAGGGTACTGACAGAAAAATTTTAGTGGCCTGCTTTTTTTTACGTCTGCTGAAAACAATTGATACAGTCAATCATTTTAATTGATACAACATTTTTCCGTTAATTTGAGAAGATCTTTTATTGATCTGCTACCGTCAAAATCTCAACCACAGAATGTGTCCAAACTGATAAAAAAATCCGATTCAAAACCAAGGGAAAGTTGTTCTACAGGGTATGATTTTTGTACTATTTTGTTTCTGTTTTCTGTTATTGGTCTACCAAATACTGGCAGAGGTTTCGATTTCACAATATTCTCTGCCAAATAGATGACCAGTGACAAAAGATGTCAAAATTTTTGAGTATTGTATCCAACTGGATGGCATGAATAATTTGATAGTAATAAAAAGTAAAAGAAAAATGTTCACTTTGAAAATAAAATTGACAGTTTTTTGGTATCAAAGCATGACTCAAAGTTGAAAATTCTTTGGCAAACTTGGACCATAAAATTTTTATCACATACTCATGCAATGAAGTAGGCATTTTATTACCAATATTATAATACTACAAAATGCTGCCATCAAGATATTCTAGTTATGAATGCAAGTCCTGCATTCAACAGTTAAACAATTTTTTGGTGTAAAAGTTAATGGTTTAGCCAATAAAACAGAAACAAACAAAAACGGAGCCTTCTCAAAATTAAACGTTTAGGTAATTTTTTTATTTTAAACGGATTTTTTGCACAGATTTTTTGCCATTTGTAAACAAAAAACAGAGTTATAATCTGAAAAAAAAGTATTTTTCAAGATTAGCTTGAAAATCCTGTGAAAAAATTAAACAAACAGCTTCCATGTTTTTATGAAAAAAAATGGATAACTTAAAAAAAATGAAGTTATTTGTATGCATCAAAACCAAAAAAAAAAGAAAACTCTTAATACAAAAACCTGTAGAAGCAAAACAACAATCGCTTATAGTATACGCCTACTTTCCAGTTTTCTTGTGTTTTTTGACTAAAGTTTAATTGCTGCTCTCAACAATTGAAACCTTTTTGAATTCACCATCTAGCTGAACAACAACTTCGAAGAAGAAGTTCTACTCAAGACAATCAAGAAATGTTTTGCTCGTTAAATGCTAAAAAACATCTTTGTTTATTGATCATTAACCCAGACAGGCTACTTAGAAGCAGAAAGTTTTGCTCAAAGGCATCGCTTTTTGTGGCTTCTCACGTTGTTTTTATACTAAACATAATTTTCAGTTTAAATATTTCTACTTCTGTGATAACAAGGGTATTGCAATCGGATATAAGCCTTTTTTGTTCTTGTAAACAAATTTGTCCAGACTTCAGCTGATGCAATACATAACATCGTGCGTCGTATATTTGCGCTCCTTGATCTACTAATCTCACTGTGCATCTTTATTAGTGTTACAGTTCAACCTTTTTACATATTTCTTTGGTATTTTTTTGAGTTTTCGACTTCGTCGTTTTCGATTTGCTTTTTGTCGACTTAGTTTCCGCTTTGATTTTACAATTCATTTAATTGTTCATTGTAACATAACTCGTTTTTGGTGTTCTCATTTACCTCTGCTGTTTCTTTGTATTTTTTTAAAACCTTGACAGCGTATATATTTCTTTTTTGTTTCTTTTTTCGATTAAAACTTTATTCTGCCCAAATAAAATTCCGCCTTATTTTTATCGGCTTAGTGACCTAACTTCAAGTTATTTCAATGGAAACATGTTTTTGTTGCTTATCTGTGGGTCGGAAAAAAAGCAAAGCATCATAATAGAAATTATAATTCCAATTATTCATGACAACAATTTTTTCGTCGAATTTTTTTTTCAACTTGATAGATTTTGCCTTATATTATATCGATTTATCGGCCTCATATTGCGTTTTTCGACGAGCAAAAAAACTTTGGGCGTATGTGTATGCATGTGTGTGTTTTGAGGGCTTGGAGTCCTAATAACTGTTTATTAGTCTTGTTTTTTTTGGGCTAAAATATTTCGGCTTAGTTGTCTCATGTTGTTTCAATTGACGTGCAAATATTGTTTTTTGAGAGTATTGAGTGCGACAGTGACTTTTGATAAGTCTTAAACCTTGTTGATTTTATTTCGGCTTGAAAAGTTTTGCTAAGGTATTTGCTACCGCTTGGGAAATTATATTCCGATGCGACATTCTATTGTCTCGGCTTGTTTTTTTTCAAAAGTAGCCTTATATCTGATCTAGTTTTTTTTCGATAATTTCGTTGGTTTTTTGTCATTTTTTTGTAATATAACACAGGTGGTGCTTAGCAAAGCTTCGCCTCTGAGGTTTTAAATTACTTGTTTTAACAATAACTGCAGTCGATTTTAAAAAACTAAGCAAAAAGAATAGCAAAAAAAATAAATTCATGTACACAAACCATACAAGACTGTTCGTAGTGCCTAGAGGTTTGCATCTGTTTTAATTCGAATCCCTATATCACATCCAAAAATTTTGATACGCGAATGGAACAGCACAAGCTCTGATCACAATCAATTTTAAAATAAAAACACTAAAAAATCAAATTTGGTTTTTTCCTTTTTTGTTTCACTTTTGTGCGTGGTTCGGGTAGAGGTAAAAAAGATTTTAATATACTTAACAATGGTTTTATTTGACTCCAATTATCTATACAAAAAAGGAAAAAGGTGCTGGTACACCGCCAAGTAAAAATCGACAGCCAGTTTTTTCTTTAATCTTTTTCTTGCTTAAGTTGTTCAATTTGGTTCAGAAAAAGTACTCTTCTAGCCAATTTTTTTTACTACACATTTTGATTTTGCCGTGTTACACGCCCATATATAAGAGTAAATAGAAAAAACGTTTTCCCGCTCAACAACCAGTAAATTTTTATAAGAATTGAGAACCAATCACTGATAGGTTTGGAGCAAGCATTATCCAAAATTCTAACTTTTAAAAGCATTACCTAAAAAAAATTTCAAATGAAATGAATTGTAAACTTTAATTGTTAACATTAGATCATTTTGATTTTCTCTGAATTACAAAATTATAACTAATCACATTTTTTCAAGCGCAACAAAAAATAAATGGCCCTTGAATTTTACAATTCAATCATAAGCAAGCTACATTTTTTGTGTCCCCGAAAAAAGCTTGAATCGGGAGATCTGCCTGATTTTTGTAATTGCCGTTATCGCTTTGCTTATCATTGATTGAAAAAACAGTTTCCATTTTTGACTTCATTCTTTTGCGTTAAGCAGTGTCATTGAAACATTATTTTGCAACTATACTTCTAGGATTTGCTTGTTCTCTTTTTTAGTTAAAAAAAGTTGGCCTTGTTAAACAACAAATGTAAACGTTAATTGACCTTACTAAACGTTAATTTTTAAAGATCCGTCAAATAATTTTTTTTCAAGGACAATTGCTTTAAAATTTCTCATTGTACAATTTTTTTTGTACAATCATGTTGTGCTACCTCCGCTTGTAAAAGATGAACTGTTTGGTTATTTCAAGTTATTAGAAACTAACGGCTTACTTGCTGAAAAGTCCCATTTTCTCAAAAACGTAACTCTTTCTCTCTGCTTGTATTGATTGAGATAATTACTACCAATATTTGAGCTGCACCAGAGAAACCAAAAAAAAACTTGGATAGTCATTTTTCGACATAAAGAGCTATCCAATTTGTTTATCGAGTTATGACTGTCAAATATGCCTTAGTTCTATTTTTTTGTACAGATCTTTTTATCACACCACGCAGAAAAAACGACACCAATTCGATTTTTTGTAAAATAAAGACAAAGGTTGTAATTTTCTGTGCTACATGCATTAACCCTCTTGCTTTTCTTGACTGTGCAGTTTTTCAATGAAAAATTAATTGTAGTTTAAAAATCAGTCAGTTTAGGTGTTGTCGCATTAGTTTCTGCAGCATGAAATCTACTCAAAATCAAGTTTAAATTACAATACTTGAGTCAGTTTGATAGTTTCTCGTTTTTTAACAATTAAAAATCTCGGATTGTATTTAGTGTATTGTTTCATTTTTTAACATCAAAATGTCATTTGACTCAAACAGTTTCGGCTGTGATATTGCCATAAACGCTTCATATGGCGTCATTTTGAGCTTGATAATAGATTTAACAGCTAATGATGCACTGCAAGTGACCCGGAGTTCCATTTTGCATGAGTTTGCTTTTCTTCGCCAAAACGATTACCCTCGGTTACTTAAATTAACGAACGCTAGTAGATCTACGGATTCAAAGTTAATTTTTGTTTTTTCAGCTTTTAATAGTTCGATACCATCTTTCAAGGTAAAAAATTGGAGTCGGAGGCAGTTTTACCAGTACTTTTGTGAGCAAATTGAATTTTTTTTTCATTAAGATTAAGACAGCGGAAGTGAACTATCTGCTGTTTCCTTGTATTGTTATTTGTATCTTGTTTATGCAATGTCATTTTGTGTATCATTTCAGCGCATTATTTTGAACTCATGATAGCCATTTAAGTTGTTCATTTTAGTGTCAGAAGCAAAACTGTGCAGCTGCACTGCCTCAGTCATATTACTTGATGCCACGCCCCCTCTGAGCGCCACTCATATCCCAGCAAGGTAACTATCGAATAGCTAACTCACACCTAGGACAAGCTGTTCCATGTTCCACCACGCTTGTGAATTCAATACATTGCGCTATGTTTCAGGACGAAGACTACGATGGTCACAAAGTGTCCTCAGCAGCAAAAAATGCGAAAGCTACTATGCGACTAGTTGAGCTGTCCACGCCCAAAAGAATCACCAAGAAAAAACTCGCCCCTCGCTAGAACTAGATGCTCAGAACAAAAAGAACAGATCAAAATGATTCAGGCGAAGTTGACCTTCGTACACAAGCGAAGTACCAATCCAGAGAAAAGGATCAAAATTAGATACTAGAAAAGCAAGATCTGCCAGTAAGACCCATAAAAATTGACGACTTTGAAAAAAGGCAATTGTTGCACTATGCAACACTTGGATTCGCTTGTGTGATTATACATCTTATTTAAGTTTATGCAATATTTACAACAATGTACAAACTAAATGAAGAACTAACGAATGAAGTACAGACACTAGCTGGGACATGAATTTAAATAAACAATGAAGGCGCTTGTTTTATGAAACTCGAGTCAACTTTCTCACTTTCACTTCTCGCTCTACTCCTTTAGCTGATTCGAACTGCCAAATGTGCAACTCTTGTTTCATCTCCACTTGATGTTCGACACTCCATGCAGCTGCTGTTTGAGTGAACTTGGATCTGCCCACGCAGACCCCAGATAGTCTGTGTCCTCATTTTCCGCCAATTTCTAAGCAAACGACACCAAAAATGCAACACAAATCCTATCAAACTGTTTGCAAAATCCTGGCCCGATTACTGTTGTTCTTTTTTCAGCTGATAACCTTCTTTTTAAAAAATTTAATTGGCTAATCTATGCCAGAGTGAAAAACCTTACAACATAACGAATTTAGGTACAACACAAAATCCTGTAAACAACTAGCAGACACGGTTAAAGAAACTGAACGAACATCGTATTCAAGAGTATATATTTTAGTCAACACTTAAAATTCAGATTCCACAAGGTCACGCCACACAAGGTAGTGATAAACCATACTGAAGCACATCAGTTCTGGTTTGCTCGATATTTGAAAACTTTGAAAAGAGTCAAGAAAAATCGCGCTGTTGCTGTCGTTGTGATTTAGCCACGAGAGGGCGCCTCCGGCTGGCTCAGATCAGGTCCCCGAAACGTAGCAATTTCGGTCGGACGAAGCCACAAATCTATTGAAGTTTAAGTGGCGTGCTGGGAACAGTTAAAAAGATGAAGAGTGGTATATAGGGAAGGACAGTATGGGGAGACGTTGAGGTCAATTCGGTTGAGGTACGTATTCGTGAACGGGCTGTACCCGGATCTCAAATGAGAAAGGTATCTCTTAGTGGAACGAGGGAGAGATACTTAGGAGAGGGAGATTTCAGGTGGTCTAAGGGAAGAACTTTCGGGGGTGGTGCATCTGATATGGCCTGCATTACTCTGAGTGGGTATATACTTTTGAAGCAATTCAAATTCATGAAGATGAAAAAACTTCGTAGACTAAAATTTTTGATAGGCGTAAGAGTATGAGTTTCAGATATGATAGTGTCAATTTCAGGTTCGTTTAAGTCAAGCAACGAAGGACGGATATTTCGTGGGGTTTTGAGATAATGATGATCAAAAAGAGCGCAATTGATGGAACAAAAGTTTTGAGGGAGAACTATGACGCCAGTAGACGATGGTGGTGGTCCACATTCTGAATGTAAATTATCTATTTCGGTCATCTTTAGCCATGTAGTCACGCGGATAGCCGCGTTTTGAACTGTCCGCAGTTTGTTTAAAGAAGTTTTACTGGCGGCGTGCGACCAGGTAGGGCTCGCATTATCTCAAACAGGTCTTACCAAAGATTTAAAATTTCTTTGCACTGGACGCAGGAAGTCAAGGATAAAGCCTTCATTGTCGAAATTCTTGCGCGCGGCTTTTGCGGATGTTTGCAATATTTGTTGACGGGTCGAAGAAGACACCGAGTATTTTGAGATGCTTCTCGAGGGGCAGCATAGTACTGTTCTTTTTCTCATTCCGATCAGTGTAAAATCTTAAAAATTAGAGTAACCTAGTTAGATAACCAGATAAGATTCATGAGGCCGATGACAGGTTGCTCGACGACAAAAGGTTGGAAGTCATCAGCGTAAGACTGCAGTTTTACATCGGAGGGCGATAGTCGAGCATCATAGACGTAAAAACTAAAAAGTGGTGGGGATAAGACTGAGCCTTGAGAGACGCACGTACAAACATTACTAAAATTTGACACGGGAGTAGCTGAATAGTTTTTGATTGACGCCCGCTCAGGTAGTTAGACAATCAATTAGTCAGGCTGTACGGTGTGCCAAGACGGAGATCCAGGAAGAAGCAATGACTGACCATGTCAAACGCTTTTGATAGATAAAAAGTGGCCAGGACTGTCTTTTTTTGGACCTTAACTGATTCAAACTGTCACTGATAAAACGTCAAAGTGGAGAGCGCTGTGGTGGTGCAATGCATCGGGCGGAAGCCAAATTGATGATCGGCTTTGGATGTTTGGTTGGGGTTGGATGGATCAAAGATTCGAAAATTTTGACTGCTAGGCTTAAAATCGACACTGGGCAGTTTGAGTCTGAAAAATTGAGATATTTCTTTGGTTTCGGAAGGGGTATCACTTCTTAAAGTTTTTTTCCAAAATTGGGGAATTTAGTTCAAAGGATTTGAAATTTTTGCGAAAAAAGATATTTTATTTATCCGACATCTTTAAGGTAGAATGTGCATAGGCCATCCAGTCCTAAAGCTTCTGAGCCTTTGCCGCTTTGATGATACTCTGTTTCTAGAGGAGGTAAGCTAAGTGACCCTTCGAAGCTAGCTTTAGGGGCTTTTATCTTACTTGCTCGTTGACCTTTATCACTAGTGTGGGTTTTCAATTTCGTATTTTGCACGTTGAAAGCATTTGCAATTTTAACCGGCCAAGAAAATTTTTTATTGAAACCCCTTGTAGGGTTCCTATCAGACTTGCTGCTTTTTATTGACCTGGGCAAATTCTAAAACTTACTAGACGACGTATTGTGATTAAAAATCTGAAGGAATTTATTTCTCACCATTTTACTTTTTGCCACGATCTTTTCGCTTAAAAAATTGTCAGATGGGTTAAAAAGTCTGATTTGATCTTTTATGAGCAAGTTTCTTCATTGAGGGCTGGAATAAAGAAACGATGCCGTCCAGCGGAAATGAGATGACGTGTTGCAGCCAGTATCGTGACCCGAAAGGTCGTTCAGTGGCGTTCACATCGTGCTGCAATGGTTGCTTTGCTATAATATCCTCAATTTCATTGGTAAAACTTTTCCAGTCTGACTTGTTAAAATTAAAGTTTTGCGGTGAGCGAACGATATCTCTTCCGCTTTGGAAGCGTAATTAAAATTGGGAGATGGTGTGAGCTTAGCTTTATAACTGCTTGCCGTGAAAGATTTGATAAAATGGACGGCGAGGCCAAGGAAAGATCTGGAGATGCTGCTGACGTGTTACTATCGCATGGGAGCTTAGTTTGTTGATAGTCGTTCAGTGGGGGTAAAAGTAGATTCAATCATGTCAGCTCCGAGTCTGTCGCCACGTTGGTCTTTCGGGATATTGGAGTACAAAAGATGGGAAATAGGCATTCGCCACAACGAGGACATTACTGTTTTTTTTTAATCGAATAAGAGATCTGTAATAGATGCTTTTCAGTTTTTCGGGACAGATAGAGCGGAGAGAAATGCAGAATTTTGTGATACGGAGATTTTGGTTGTTAGCCTTTACTTTTACGCAATGCGCCTCCAAAATTCCGTCTTCCAATGTTTCTTATTTCCTCGTATAGAAGGGAGTTATGAATGGCAGTGAGGAGTTCACATCCCTCGATTACGGTCCATTCTAATAATTGTATAATTTGTACCCGGCGAGGATGGAATTTGTATTCGCACAAAAAAGTTTATTGCAGGAGTTACTCTAAAGCCGTAACTGTGCCCCAAAACTGACAGCAATATTTGCGACTTAGGTCAGAAAAAATGAATAGCCGTAGTATAACACTAACGCTCACTAAAGTTCGAAGTGTAATGATCGGAACAACAAGGTACAATCGGGAATCTAATTCCAGACCTTAGGATCCAAAAGAACGCACTTTCCCACTAGAACAAGTGGGAATGGGCAGGTAGTTGTTATTGTTCTACAGTAAAGCAAGTCCAATTTCTTACAGACTTGTAACAAAAGTTAATTACAACTAGCAAGCCCGTCTCCAACAACCAATTATCTCGCAAAAATTAGTACTTGCTTTCATCAAGCTATTCAAGCTATGAAACTCAAAACAATTTCAAGTTGACCCATATCCTAAATGGGTTTGAAAAAAAAATAAATTTCAACGACCGAATCTGTACGCGAAAAAATAAGTTTTTCTACACCAGTTGGACCAGCTATAAAACTTCGAAATCGGATAGCGAAAAAATTGGTTTTTATATTGGAGCCATTCGACCGACCAAACTTTGAAAAATTCAAATTATTTCATAGACCAAATCGGTTTTCCAAAAAAATAACTTTTTCTGAACAATATTCAAGATATGAAACTATTTCTTGAATTACATCGGTAGGTTTAGATTTTTTTATGGGAGCCATTTAATCGATGAATTTCTGATTAAAATTTTCAACTCATTCCATAGACTGAATCAGTTCTCCTTTTTTGAGCAAGCTATTCCAGCTATGAAACTAAGCAATATTTCAATTCAAGTTATTTAAAAGCTCTGAATCGGTTAGCGAAAAGTTCAAGACTTTCTAAGCAAGCTATTCCAGTTACGAAACTTTAAAAATTTCAAGTCGTATCATGGAGCGAACCAGTTTCTGTTAGTTTTCATGCAAGCTATTCATTCGAAGTAATTTCGTGAAGCGAACCGAATGGCGAAAAGTTTAAGTTTTCTAAGCAAGCTATTCCAGCTAGGAATCTTTGAAATATATCAAGTTGTTCCATAGACCGAATAGTTTTGCAAAAAAAATATCCGATTGAACCATTTATACCTTGAACCATTTCAAGTTATTTCATAGAGCTAGTCGGATGACAAGAAGTTAAACTTCTCTCAGCAAGGTATTAGTTAACTTTGAAATAATTCAAGTAAATTTATCAAGCGAATCGGATGGCGATAGTTCAAGATTTTCTAAGCAAGCTACTTGAAACTTTGAAATATTTTGCATGAAGCGGATGCCAAAAATTTCTCCTAAGCAAGCTATTCCAGCAATAAAAATTCCAAATATTTCAAGAAACGAATCAGTTAGCTAAAAAACTTCATTTTTTTCTAAGCAAGGTATTCAAGCTATGAAACTTTGAAATTTTTCAAACGATTTGATGAAGCGAATCGGATGGCGAAAGTTTTTTTTAGAAGCCATTCATGCGATGAAACTTCAAATAAAAAAGCTATTGAAGCCACGAAACTTTCAACAATTTCATGTTATTTTTGGACCAAAATGGTTGGCAAAAAAAAAACAAAACAAGTGTTTCTAGCAAGCTATTCGAGCTAAGTTTCTTCACGAAGCCAAACGGAATGCAATATAATTAAAATTTGATATTGAAGCCTTTCAATTGATGAAACGTTGAATTATTTCAAACTGTTTCACAGAGAAAATCAGTTTGGGAAAAATTGAAGCTCATCTTAACCCTGCTAATGCAGCTATTAAAGTTTGAAAATTTCAAGTTATTCCAAAGATCGAATTGCTTTGCAAAAACTTGACTTTTTCTAAGCAAGCAATGTTAGCAATGAAAATTTAAAATATTTCAAGTTGTTCTGTAGATCAAATCAATTCGCAAAAAGTTTTTCCTAAGAAAGCTATTCAAGCTAAGAAAATCTACAAGTAAATTCATAGACCGAATCGGTTCGCGAAAATTTGAAGTTTTTCTTAGCAAGCGACTCTATAGTTATGAAAACTTGATAGATGGCAAGTTATTTATAAAACCGAATTTTCTTCTAAACTTTCAAGAAATATTTCAAGCTATTTCATAGACCGAATCGTTTTGCGAAAAGCTCCTGTTTTTCTCAGCAAGCGATTCGACCTCTGAAACTTTTAAATATTCCAAGTTATTTCATTGACCGAATCGGTTGGCAAAAAGTTTTCTGAGAACGCTAGTCATCGATGAAACTTTGAAATATGTCAACTTGTTTCACAGAGCAAATCGACTGGCGAGCCGTTTTAGTTTTTCTAAGCAAGCCATTCAGGCGATGAAACTTTCAGAATGAAATTGATCTGAAAAGACAAAATTTGGGAGAAAACACGGACAGGCACTGTCTAGCCTTGAAAAAGAAGTAAAATCATCTTGTATAAAGAATTGAATTTTTGTCAAAAAAAATTCTAGAATATTCCAGACTTAAGAAAGTTTGAGTTCAAGAATATTCTTGGCCTTCTCTTAAACGTTAAGTGTAAAGAATCTTTTAAGCATTGCATTCGACAAAGCTAAAACATTGCGTTCAGTTAAACATTGCGTCCATAGCGCATTCCGACTTTCATTTAATATATATAAGATGTTCAAATTTGTAGCATTAAAAAACTACCTTGAGTTCCTCCTGTCTGCGATATGCATGTGCCATCATTAGCTTCTGTTCCTGCTCATTCACCACTGGCTCCCTGGCAGGACACCCATGGCCCTTCTAAACACACCATTATGCGTCATTCCATACTTGCACTACTCGACATTCGTCATTGTGTAAAAACAGAGTCGTGTTTCCCTTCGTTACCTTGGTGAGTTTGATAATGACTGTGGTCTTTTCGTTTTTGCCCATGAAGTGAGACAAAGGTTTCTCTGTAGGCGTCATCTCCTTGCCACAGTACCACAGGGACAGATTGTTCAAATCCAATACCTCCTTGGCCATCTGAATGAAAAACACCTTCTGATCACATATTACGCAAGGAAAAAGCAACACGTCCGACTAGGGTTCGTGAGAAATGAAAAGCATGTAAGATCACAGGAAACAGCTCGTTACGATATTATATAGTTACGAAATTAGAAATAGTTACGAAGTAACTCACAACTCTCCTCCGAGCACGTACCTGGGTTCCTGCGAGATCCTCGTTGTCATCGAACTCTGCCTGGATGGGATCATGAGGGGGCAGTCCCATAGGGTACACAATAGTCACTGCTCCCTTCAAAATGGCCAAACAGTCCTTCACGTCTTCATTCGTGACCACTTTGTTGTTCTCAAAATGTTTCTGCGAAAACAACAACTAATTTTATTTTTAACATCTGTAGAAAAACGGAAAGTTTTAATGTCCAATATAACTGAGAGAAGCGTTGAATTACAAATTAATTCAGCAGCTTTCAGCCAAAATACAGAGCGGGTCAGGTGGTGTTGGATGGTACAATTACACTCGCTTCTCATGGACAGCAAGAACAGACTAAGACGGTCATATAAAAGAAACAAGTTACCTTGGATACTTTTTGTTTAGCCTCTTCCACTGTGTCGTTCAGCACCGTCTGCATGTTCTCCATTGGAGCTTAAAAAAACTTCAAATTTGCATATCGAGAAATTAACAACAAATGCAAGACAAGACAATCGCTAAGTTTGAACATAATTTGAATTCGAAGTTAATTGAGAATGCTCGTTTCCTTTTCAATGTGACATGACATAATGTTTGAATTGACCGATTGCTCTTTTCAACCATCTTTTAACATTGGTAACTGTTCATAAAGATTTTTGCGAAAAGTTGGAACAGAACTAATCCAGTAGCGCAACCTACCAATTTTTTACAAAATTTTGGATGCACATTTGACTTTTCAAGTGATCTTGAAGCACATTTTTTGTCTGCAACAGACAGTTTGCTCTCTTTAATTATAAATAATGCCAAATTATTGGCAATATAGAGAGCTGCAAAAAGTTCGGACAGACAGAAATAATTAAAAAGAGCAATCTGCCAATTTTGAGCAGTTTTGGCATGCAAATTTGATTTTTTAAGTGACATTGAGACATACTTTCTGTCTGAAAAATTAGCTTTTGCATGTAAAAATTGTCTGAAAAAGGCCATTTGCTCTTTTTAATTATTTTTGTCTGTCCGAACTTTTTGCTACTAATTATATCTCTTCGATCAACGAATCTGATCGATGTTAATCAATCTAAGATTGCTCATTTTGACGTCGGATTTCAGTTTTTCACTGATTTCCACACGTACAAACCGTTTCCAAAAAAATAATTAGCTTAAAATGCTATACAGTGCTGATTTAAATTATCCGGGCAAGACGAACAAAACTTGAAATTTCAAACGCGTTTTTTTTTTCAAATTGGGTTTAGATGAGACAAAAAGTGAGAAGAACAAAAGTTGCTTAGAATTTCATCAGAATTATTATGGTGTAATTTTATCTCCGAAATTCTCAACCAAAACTTTACCCCAAAAATGGGTCACTTTAATTTTTTTTTCAAATAATCAAAAAGTACGCTGAAACTACTTTGTTAATTGATAACACAATTATATCACAAGAAGCCTTTTACACAGCCCAACAAAGTTTAAGAAGGGTTAAATCTCCAAAAACTAGAAAAAGAGAATTTTTTTACTTGATAGTCAATAAATGTGATTTTTAATATATAAAACCCAGAACCTTTGTTCAAAAACAAATTTTAAACAATTTGCGCAAACTTTTGGAGATTTAACCCTTCTTAAACTTTGTTGGGCTGTGTAAAAGGCTTCTTGTGATATAACTTTCTTATCAATTAACAAAGTAGTTTCAGCGTACTTTTTGATTATTTGAAAAAACCAAAGTGACCCATTTTTGGGTTAAAATTTTGGTTGAGAATTTCGAAGTTTTGTCCGGATAATTTAAATCAGCACTGTAGTTTTCGACCGATTAATGCTCAAGATCACCGATATTGCTAAAAATTTGAATATAATTAAGGTGTAACTCACCTCTGGTGCTTCAAACAGATAAGTTATTATGAAAGGTGCTTCAACATAAAATGTATGGAAAGAACCGCGAAATGAATGCAACCGTATAAAAAGAAGGGGAATCGAACCAAGCGTTTAATTTCAAAATAAAAATGATTGAACGATAAAAATTATTTTGACTCAAAGATTTTTTTAACCAAAAATGGTCAAATCTCCAAAACTACTGGGTTTCAGATCTATTATACAGCTGACAGCATACAACTGCACTTTTCACAATTAAGAAATACGAAAAAATTTCAATTGCAAAAGCATCTAATCCAATTCAAATAGAATTTACAATCCAGCGTAATTAATTTTTAAATATCAGACTCATTTTTCTTAATTTAATTTTAAGTTCGATGAAAATTTCTATCAATAGTATTATGATGAGAGGCCTCCTATGCATCCGCTGGTAGTAACCCGATATCAACCCAAGAAATGGTCGACAAATTCAAAATTTGAAAAGCATTTAATTACAATATAAAAAATTTTGAAAATTTTCATAAGATATGATCGCCACATTTAAGAAAACAAAAGGCGTCGAGATGTCACCATTGGAATCCAGACAAATATCCTGAGAGTACCTTGAAAGCCATGGTGATGAGTGTTTCGAACTTAGAAATTATTTTAGATCATAATGTTTAGGAACATATTGAAAAAACATAAAAAAACGGCAGTTGTCAGAAACTTAGATGATGGAAGAAAAATTTGCAACCCTTGAGAACAACTCGACAGCACCTGACTACAGGGTTGGCGGTTTCAAATTTTGCGGTACTTTTTTGGTTCTAAGTTTTGAAAAGGTCTGAAAAAGTCATTGAAATCTCAGAACATCAGCGTCAAAGATTTGAGCAGTCAGATTTGGATGCAAGATTTGCACCGCCTGATAGTACCTTGACAGCACCTCACAGTTGATAACTTCAATTTTTATTTTAAGTTTTTTTTATCTAAGTTAATTGAACATTTTTGAAAAAAATCTTAATAAAACGTCATGTCTCTGAAACAAACAAAAAATAGAGCATTCATATTTTGAGGCAAGATTTGGAACTCCTGAGAGAACCCCGACAACATCTAACAACAGGGCTGTGAATTTCAACTTTTGTTATGTTAAAATATAATTTCTTAGAAGTTTTTTTTTAAATCATAAAAAACGTCATATCTCGGTAACGGAAACGATTTGAGCAGTCATACTTGGAAGCACACTCTACAACGGCTGAAAATACCCTGACAGTAACTCAAACCATAAAGTTGCGACTTTCCAATTTTCGTCAAGTTTTTATATAATTTCTTTGCATATATTTTTCAGATCTATAATACAGCTGACAGCATACAACTGCACTTTCCACATTTAAGAAAATGAAACAATTTCAATTGCAAAAGCATCTAATCCAATTCAAATAGAATTTACAATCCAGCGTAATTAATTTTTAAATATCAGACTCATTTTTCTTAATTTAATTTTAAGTTCGATGAAAATTTCTATCAATAGTATAATGATGAGAGGCCTCCCATGCATCCGCTGGTAGTAACCCGATATCAAACCAATAAATGGTCGACAAATTCAAAATTTGAAAAGCACTTAATTACAAGATAAAAAACCTTGAAAATTTTCATAAGATATGATCGCCACAATTAAGAAAACAAAAGGCGTCGAGATGTCACCATTGGAATCCAGACAAACATGCTGAGAGTACCTTGAATGCCATGGTGTTGTGTGTTTCGAACTTAGAAATTATTTTAGATCATAATGTTTAGGAACATAGTGAAAAAACATAAAACAAAACGGTGGTTGTCAGAAACTTAGATGATTTCAGCAGTCAAATTTGGAGAAAGATCTCCAACCTCTGAGATTACCCAGAGAACACCCCACTGCAGGGTTAGAAATTTCAAATTTTTGAACGTTTATTCTTAATTCAAGTTTATTTTTTGAAAAAACGTCATGTCAAACAGCATTTGAAAGCCACCTTTGGAAGAAAAATTTGCAAACCTTGAGAACAACTCGACAGCACCTGACTACAGGGTTGGCGGTTTCAAATTTTGCGGTATTTTTTGGTTCTAAGTTTTGAAAAGGTCTGAAAAAGTCATTGAAATCTCAGAACATCAGCGTCAAAGATTTGAGCAGTCAGATTTGGATGCAAGATTTGCACCGCCTGATAGTACCTTGACAGCACCTCACACCTCAGAGTTGATAACTTCAATTTTTATTTTAAGTTTTTAAAATCTAAGTTAATTGAACATTTTTGAAAAAATCTTTAAAAAACGTCATGTCTCTGAAACAAAAAAAAATAGAGCATTCATATTTTGAGGCAAGATTTGGAACTCCTGAGAGAACCCCGACAACATCTAACAACAGGGCTGTGAATTTCAACTTTTGTTATGTTAAAATATAATTTCTTAGTTTTTTTTTAAATCATAAAAAACGTCATATCTCGGTAACGGAAACGATTTGAGCAGTCATACTTGGAAGCACACTCTACAACGGCTGAAAGTACCCTGACAGTAACTCAAACCATAAAGTTGCGACTTTCCAATTTTCGTCAAGTTTTTATATAATTTCTTTGCATATATTTTTCACATCTATAATACAGCTGACAGCATACAACTGCACTTTCCACATTTAAGAAAATGAAACAATTTCAATTGCAAAAGCATCTAATCCAATTCAAAAAGAATTTACAATCCAGCTTAATTAATTTTTAAATATCAGACTCATTTTTCTTATTTTAATTTTAAGTTCGATGAAAATTTCGATCGATAGTATAATGATGAGAGGCCTCCTATGCATCCGCTGGTAGTAACCCGATATCAACCCAATAAATGGTCGACAAATTCAAAATTTGAAAAGCACTTAATTACAAGATAAAAAACCTTGAAAATTTTCATAAGATATGATCGCCAAATTTAAGAAAAAAAAAGGCGTCGAGATGTCACCATTGGAATCCAGACAAACATGCTGAGAGTACCTTGAATGCCATGGTGTTGTGTGTTTCGAACTTAGAAATTATTTTAGATCATAATGTTTAGGAACATAGTGAAAAAACATTAAAAAAAAACGGTGTTTGTCAGAAACTTAGATGATTTCAGCAGTCAAATTTGGAGGAAAGATCTCCAACCTCTGAGATTACCCAGAGAAAACCCCACTGCAGGGTTAGAAATTTCAAATTTTTGAACGTTTATTCTTAATTCAAGTTTATTTTTTGAAAAAACGTCATGTCAATAAGCATTTGAACAGTCACCTTTGGAAGAAAAATTGGCAACCCTTGAGAACAACTCGACAGCACCTGACTACAGGGTTGGCGGTTTCAAATTTTGCGGTATTTTCTGGTTCTAAGTTTTGAAAAGGTCTGAAAAAGTCATTGAAATCTCAGAACATCAGCGTCAAAAATTTGAACAGTCAGATTTGGATGCAAGATTTGCACCGCCTGATAGTACCTTGACAGCACCTCACACCTCAGAGTTGATCACTTCAATTTTTATTTTAAGTTTTTTTTATCTAAGTTAATTGAACATTTTTGAAAAAAATCTTTAAAAAACGTCATGTCTCTGAAACAAAAAAAATAGAGCATTCATATTTTGAGGCAAGA